CCCCCCCAGCCACATTCTTCCTCGGTCCACTTACAGTAGAGGCATTTAATGAGATAGTAACATAATAAATGTGTGTACTTTAAAAACTTTATAATAAAATTTGTCAAAATTTATTTTTTTGACAAAATATCTTCGTATCGTAGATTTTATTTTTAAATCTGGTTCAAAATATAAAAATCCTCGTATCCATTTAAAAAATAATAATTTTTGAGACATAAAATTCACAGATTCCCTCGCATGCCTTGATGCAATGGGCGATGAAGGTTTCTCCACGTGGCAAAAAGGTCAGAGGCAAAATATCTATCGGATCAGAAAGAACTGACATCGAGAAATGAAAAAAAGTGCAGAGAATCACCACGCAAGCGAACCGGACAAACCCTTTTTTGTTGCAACACGTCAGTCCCTTTTTCTTTTCTTGTTTAAATTGTCACTGAGCTCCCGTTTGTTAAAAAATAATTTTTTAAAAATAAATAAATTTTAAAAAAATAAATTATTTTTTTAATATTTAATAATATAATAAAAAATAAGTTACAAAACACTTTCAGTATTTAGTTATATTATGAAAAATAAACTGAAAAATAATTTATTAATATTTTATTTTTCTTAATTTTATTAAAATAATAAAAAACAAATCTTACAAATTAAAAAGTTGGACGAGAATGAAATTCAAAAAAATATAATTTTATAAATTATCTCAAATAAAAACTAATAATCAAAATAATAGATCAAATTTAAAAAAAATATTCAAAATAAAATATATGTAACAATGAAAAGTTTGATGATCAAATTTTATGTAATTAACAAATAATATGATATTTTTAAATTTTTCATAACTTCTAGGAAGTGTCTTCAGCCGATTAAATTTTTCATAACTTCCAGAAAGTGTCTTCAGCCGAAATTTTTCAGAAAAATATTTTTCTAGAAATCAAGTTAAATTTTTCTTTGACTGAAAAGTGTTTTTCATTTATTAACTTTTCTAAATATTAAATAAATACAAAAAAATTTAAAAATTAATTTTTCAAAAAATAAATTCTGAAAAACAAACATGGCCCGAGAAAAGGTAAGTACATCTCTTGGAATAATACCATGTAATTAGCGCACAATACCTTAATTCATACATATTTGATCCAAAAAAATAAAATTTTAATATTTAATATAAAAAATTAAAAAATATTTTATGCAATAAAAGCTGCATATAATTATTTTACATGAGAAATGTTATATATATATATATATATATATATATATATATAAAGTCAATAAATAAGGAAAAGTATTTATAAATTAATTTTATATTTTTTAAATTTATATAAAAAATATATACAAAATAAAATAAAATGTCACCCAAATTACATGGTCACCCAGATTCACAGCGTATCAAATCAAATATCTAACCAGTGGAAAGAGACATAAAAGCCAGCACGAAAAGAGGAGTAAAAAATCGACTTGCGACGAATAGCAAGCAACCAAAAAACACATCATTACAAAATAACAGGAAGGCAGAAGACGAAGAATGTAAGATGCCATAGACATTAATGTCCTCCAGTATATAGCTCTTATTTTCCAACAGAGAAGAAGAAGAAGAAGAAGACATACATGCGTACGTGGAATATTGAATTCTTAAGGTTCTATTCCTAAGGCCAGTTTTCCTTAGGCTTCTGTTTTCACTTCTCTTCTGCCCATTTGCTCTTGTTTAGTGGCCCATTTGCTCTTGTAGATTGAGGCTATTGTCTTGGGCTTTCGGCTTGCTCGTTTTATTTGTCTTTGACATTGCCACTTAAATAAAGTATGCTATGTTGTGTTTGATTATTTTTTTACATGGTGTTGTTGTGTTTTTTTTTAGCGTACTTGTCTTTCTTAATTATAAGAGGATTGACATGGTATGATATAGTTAATTTGAAAAATTTAAAGATAATATGTATAATGAGTAAAATTATAATTAGATTTAAAAATAATTATAATTGTAATTTTTAAAAAATATTAAAATGATAATATATTAGATTGATTTTAGTTAACTTATCAAATGTGATTTCAGTTAACTTATCAAATGTACTACCTAGATAATAAGATCTTGATGACCATATATAAAATAGTATAAAAAATTATTAAACTCAATTATCAATAAACTCAATATTAAAGAATAAAATTGAAAATAAAATGTGGATAAAAAAATAAATTAAATCAAATTAAGTTAACCTATTAAACTTAGATCATAAGATCAGGATAAATATATAAAAATAAAATTCAAAAAACTTATTTAAAGTTCATATAAAAAAAAATGATTTGAGCCAACTTGAATTAACCTATTAAACCTGCGTTAAAAGATTAAAGTAGCTCTATAGAAAATAAATCAAAAAAATACATAAAGTTTAATTCTCAATTAACCTTATCTTGAATAATGAAGTTGACATAAAAAAAAAAGAAGTTAATTTAAAGGGAATAAAAGTAATAACCCAAATTAACACGTTTAATCTACAAAATTTATAACTTTACAAAACTTATAACTTTAATCATGAAATAAGAATAACTTTATAAAAAAATAAATTATAAAATTTAATATTATTATTATTATTAACAAATAAAAAAACCCCGAGAGACCATCTTTTAGTCATGCCAGACTAGTTTTTCTCCTGGTCCGACAGTAGTTGGATTATATATATATATATATATATTATTAACAAAAAAAAAAAACCCAGAGAGAATCAGGAGTTGAATTCGTTAGTTATAAGTGCTGCGTGATCTGGCATGCAAGATCATCACTCGAAAGGAGGAGACTGTTTACAACCCGTTTCACCAACCGCCGAAGCCAAATTCACACGACACATGCAATGTCACGATCAGATACAACTTTTAAAGTTTTACTGTCATTTTATTCAATTACATTCGCATTCGTTTTGCCCATCAAAGAGATCATGACCGAACTTCACATTTACATTTCCAGAATTAATCAATAGTTTTATTCTATGTGATTTCAGTCATCGCCTTTCTTGGACCCATACCTCTCAACCCTCTCGTCAATCCACCCTCTCATATCCTTCAAAACAAGATTAGCATTCTCATCGGGCTCGCCTTGTATCAAAGAATGGTACATGCCCTCGTACACCTTCAAGCTCTTGTCCTTACTAGAGGCTTTCTCAAACAACAACTGTGATGATGTCGGGCATGTCACCCCATCAGCCGTGCCGTGGACTGTCAAGAACGGCACTGTAACCTTGGAGAAATTGTCCTGTATGTATTGGCACATCCTAGCAATTTCCCTCATGGTTCCCACCCTAGGCTTTCCTGTGTATCTCCTAGGGTTGGATGCTATGATCTTGAGTTTCTCTGGGTCCTTGATCGCTTTGCCTACCATTTTGTTGTCTGGCATAGCTGCCCAGGTATCAGCCATTCCAAAGAGCAGGCCATACATGAATAGGTGTACCTTGCTTGGTTTCATCGGTTCTGGTATGACAAAAAGTGGCGCCGAGAAAATCAAGCCCGTCCACATGTTAGGTTCTGATTGGAAGTACATTAGCATTGTTGCGAGTCCACCCATTGATTCACCAAATAAGAAGGCTGGTAAGCCCTTGTATGGTTCGCTGAAGCGCTCGTGCTTGAAGAATGACAGGGAAGTGGCAGAAATCTTGTCCAAGTCACCTTCACAACAACATATTTTTTTTCAGTTTTCATTTTTGCAGAAGCTTAGAAAGAAGTTATGTAAATACAAATGCTGGGTGTTTCTGAATGAATAAGATATGCTGGATTTGAGCTTAATGCGTATGAATTATGATACAAGTCTACGAGAGAGCAAGCAATAATCTCAACAAAATATTGTTGCAATAAATCTGAGTTCTGCCTCTCGATCTGAAAATACAATTTCAATGAAATCATCTTGGAGACAGACATTGGGACCCTTTTATAGCCATGCCTAGAATACTAATTAGCAATAGTAACATCATATCTAACAACCCTTTCCCTTTCATTTCTGTTCCTGGCAATAGTTTACCTGCACTGTTTTTTCCTCCAAAATAAAATCCATATTACAGCTCAATATTTTAATTTCTCAAGAAAATAAATACTATATGAATTATGCCATCCCAAAATCATGAACCAATTAAAGAAAATTATAAATATTACATGAATAAACATATTCAATTAAGCATATTGTGATTTTAGCGTTTGTGAGTTCTAATTATAACCTAAACGCATCGAGCGGGAGTGAAAAACATATCGAAAACCATGTGAACTACCTAACATGTACCGAATGTTGTCCTGGGCAATGGAATTCGATCCTACAATGTTTTACAAAATCAATGTATATTTAATTAAATATTTGATAACAAGCGGTGATGAGGAAGGTGAGTTAATTACCCATGTAGCAACGTATACCGTCTGATCTGCCGTGTCCAAGAAGATCAGCAGCAAAAACAGCATATCCCCAGTTAGCAAAGTTGATGCAAATCTTCTGGAACAACCAGCCAGTATCAGATCCATAGCCGTGGGTCATATATACCGTGGCTTTGACTTTTTTATCCAACGGGAGAAAACCTTGAGTGAAGAGCTTCCCATCTGGCGTCTCGAAGTATGATTGGGTATTGGTCACTCCTTGTGACGCATAGTACTCCTCCTCCGGCATGTCACCCCAGAAGTTGTGAGGCGTTTTGGGTTGCTGCGTTTCGGATGACATGGTCACGTTTCGTCGAGTTCTTTTTTTTTTTTTCAGATTCCCGGAAGGCTTGGATGATTGACTTTAAAAGAGGAGGAAAGATGGGTGTTTTTTGAGCGAGTTGGTGGGCGGAGCTTCAGAGTTAGCGTGCTGGAGATTACAGATTTGATTATTTTTTGAAATATTTTTTTATTTTAAAATGTATTAAAATAATATTTTTTATTTTAAAAAAATTATTTTTGATATTAATATATTAAAATATTTAAAAATATTAAAAATATATTAATTTTAAAAAAAATAAAAATTTTTAAATTTTTTTTAAATTTTTTTAAAATACAATAGTAAACAAGATTAGATGATATTTCTACATGGAGAGCGAGAGAGGATTTTAAAACTGGTGTCTTGTGTCGGAAAATTGGGGTTTATAGAGGATGAGGTTGGTGTCGGATGTCTATGAATACTAGTGAATTTAATTTTAATTTAATTTAGATTATATCTATTATTTATTAGATAAAAAACTTTAATATTTTTATTTTTACTTAATGCTATTCATTATTCAAGGATGATTTATTATTCAAAATAAGATAAACAAATATGATATCTATGAAATGAGATAATTATCCAAAACATTCACTCGTTCAAATGAATTCAAGTTTGGTTAATCATGTCGGGGTATTTTCACCAACCATATTTATGTCGGGTAGTAAGAGGAGGTGGAAGTAGGTGGATGGTTGGCTCTTTTCTTACAGGTCCACCACTAAGGTACGGTGGCGGCGGTGGTGATTGGATGTTTTGTATGACATGGGCCTAAGGACACACGAATAATCTTACCACATTGATGTTCTGCTCCCGTTTCACCAAACTGTCGTTGACTAGTATCCATCAACTCCTCCACGACTGTGATATTCTTTTTTCTCAATAGAATTTGAGAAAAGCCCTCCTTCAATTTTCATAATTTAGAGAATTATCGTACTAGAACTAAAATTAAAAAAAAATAAGAAATACAAATTTCATAAGATATTATTTTCTTGATGCATATCAAAGTTAAATTCTTAACTGGTGTTAATTTTTTTAAAAAAAATATTGTTGTTTCATTTGATTTCATAATTTTATCAGGAAAAAGGATTTAATTAAAAAGCAATGGGGGTTTAAATAATGAATTATTCAGCCCGTTTATTATCATAAATCTTTGAATAAATTAAAGGAACTTCATGTGAATTCGTCTAGTTTAAAATTAAGTTAGTTTTTATTTTTTTATTTTTATCGAAAAATATTAAACATGTATCTTAAATTGAACCTTATGTTATGAACATTTCAATTGATTCAAGTAAAAATAATCTATAATAAACCTATGCTAAGAAATTATAATTCAAATTTTTTTGTTAAAAGTTTTTCTCATATTTTCTATTTTTTAAACTTGGAGTCAATGTTTAAAATTTTATATTCTTTTTTTATCTGAGGGATCTAATTTATATGTTTATATGTTATATATTGATACTGACTCATGAATAAAATAGGGTATTTTAATGCTTCAAGGAATTCTATCTGTTTCTTTTGCACACTCTCTCTCTCTCTCACCCACTCTAATGTAAATCAATACTTGATATTTTAGCATAACTCTCCCATATTCAATCTCTTTCACTTACCGCTACATGTTCACTTTTATTTTGTTTCATGACATCATCAATAATTGAAAATAATGAATTTTAAATTAAAAAAATAGAAACTAATAAAAAAAATTATTAGTTAAAATTCAAAAAGATACGTGTTTGGATTTTTTTAATCAAACAATAAGGAAAATCTTCATAGCTTTGGTTTCAACAAAAACTAAGATAGCCTTTGAAAATATGATTGAACTTGTGTTTTTTAAAAAAATTTAAAATTATTTTTTTTATTTTTAAATGGTTTTGATTTAAAATTAATTTTTTTTATTTTTAAATGGTTTTGACATGTTAATGTTAAAAATATTTTTTTAAAAAAATATTATTTTAATACATTTCCAAACGAAAAATACTTTGAACCATAACCGCTACCACATTCTCAAACACCCTCTAAATCTCATTCTCATGTGATTTTAAAAGCACCCCTTCTATACTAATTAGTGCATTAAAACAATTAATAAATTCTTTTAAAAGTTAATTTTAAAATTCAAACCTAAAAAGTTAAAAAAAAAATTATTATTTTAATTATTAAATTACCTCGCATTAAATTGAGTTAACCTGCTCAATTTATAATCTAGATGATGACCTTGATTAAACCTCAATAAAAAATTATAAATTATGATGTTACACCTCAACAAAAAATTATAAATTATGATGTTACTGTAGCATATTGGAATGAACCTTGAATAAAAAGTTTGAAAAGAATACCATGAAAAATGAAAGTGTAGTTTCAGCCTACAGGAGGGAGAAATGAACTTGGATTGTGTTGGATGAATTAATGTGTTTAATATGATTGTTTTGAGTTGAAGTTTTAATAAAAACATGGAAGGAAACCCGTGAGATTAAGTTGTGAAGGTTTCGGCCAAAAGACATTAAGGTAGGGAAATTGGAAAACTTAAAGACTTTGTAAAGTAATTGTGTTATTTGACTTTGAATTACACTTGAATTGATATTTTTGGGTAAGGATTTGCCGTGTTTGATAAAAGGGATATGCTTGGAACCTAGGGACGATTAAAAGGAGATAATCACGATGAGGAAATTAACAAGTTGTGTGTGTAAATCAAGAAGAAATGTTGCATTTGAATTACACTTGAATTGATATTTTTGTGTAAGGATTTGCCGTGTTTGATAAAAGGGGTATGCTTGGAACCTAGGGACGCTTAAAATGAGATAATTACGATGAGGAAATTATTAAGTTGTGTGTAAATCAAGAAGAAATGTTGGATTTAATAAGTTGAGGGTATGATATAATCAGCCCTATAAATGGGGACTATCCATATCATGAAGTGTAGATGGCTGCCAGAGCAGGGGAGCGGGGACTGCTAATGTTACGAAAACCAGAAAGTGGTCGAAGTATGATAGAATAAAATTTTAAAAAAAATGAACTCCAATTCACATAAAAAAATAAAATAAAAAAAGAAGTTGCAATCTTATTTATAATCCAAGTAAAAATTAAATAATATTTAATTTTAAAAAAATCATCAAAGTTAGACTTAGGGCTTCCATTAGGAGATTGCATACCTTTGGGATTATGAAAGGCAAGTCTTCTGGCAGGAGCTCTACTCCAGATCCCGGTCGACTAAGTCAATTCCCAAATGCACTGACTTCTTCTACCAAATGAGCTTCTTGCCCGTCACTTTGATTCAAACTCGATAGCCCTTAACTCCCAGACCTGAGAGCTCACCCGCTCTCTCTCTCTCTCTCTCTCTCTCTCTCTCTCTCTCTCTCTCTCTCTCTCTCTCTCTCTCTCTCTCTCTCTCTCTCTCTCTCTCTCTCTCTCTCTCTCTCACACACACACACACACACACACACACACATATATAGATATATAAAATAAAAACACTATATTATAAAAATAGACTAATTAGAATCCCTACAATGAAGCTCTACATTACTTCCTAATTAGATGATTTTTACAACCTGTATCACTACCTTTTGTCCATTGTGAGCGGAGGAAAAGATGGGAAATATATATGATCTGGATTTCGGAGGACTCGCAGGAGCAATAGAAGTTTTGAATGTAGCATTTTAAACATTTTCGGGGGGACTACACTTGTTTAATGACCTTCCTTATCGGGCTTTGGGTTCTGATTTGGAACACCCATATAACGATTACAAATAAGACTTGATTCAAACATGTTGAATGAGCTCTGCACTGCTGTCAGCCACTTCTCAAAAAAAACTGCAGCTTTCTGGCAGTTCCAGTGTCCATGTATGGAAAAGATACAGAGAATGTGTGAGAATGTAGAAGATAATGAACTGTGTGTTATGTGGATCCTGTGGAGGAAAGGCAAATCATTCTCTCCTCTCTCAAATAGATGCATGGTGTAGTTAAGACTTGTGAATCTGTGTATTATCACACTATGACCAATGAGTAAATGACATCTATGGAATATTCTAATTCGAATATTTAATCCCCTCTGATCGTAGAATAAATATATCTACCTTATCATAAATATAGTAGCAGGACATGTCTTTAATCCCCTCTGATCGTAGAATATATATATCTACCTTATCATAAATATAGTAGCAGGACATGTCTTTAATCCCCTCTGATCGTAGAATATATATATCTACCTTATCATAAATATAGTAGCAGGACATGTCGTTAACGTCAGACCTGGGAAAATGTCTCATCATCACCCCCTCCAGTTTTAGAAGGATATAGATAACAATTTGTTGTGTGGTTGTGAATTAGGGTGGAGGTAGCATGCTGTTATTAACTATGAACATGATGTTTTCATTTTTTGTTTTCAAGCATGCATGCACATATATTGCTTTTCTTTTCCCTGTAGGGGACGGGCCGGTAAGATTCAAACCACCACAGCTGCCTGTTTCTCACTCTGGCTAATACTCTCTTAAGGCAATCTTGCATTTATTCGCCATCCCTGTTTTTCCAATGTGATATTACTTCTCTTCTGTTGGTGAAAAGATACGTTGATGTTTATTCAGCTTCATCTGTCATTGGATTTTCATCTGAAGACTTGTTCCACATATCAGATGTATAAGTTCAGGCAGAGCAGAATTGGGCACACACTATTGAGAACTTACTATTGTATAGAAATGAAAGCTGCCACACTTTGTTACCTGCTCTTACAAGGAAGTCGATTCTTATTTTAGTTTCCTGTCAAATGTTTCAGAGCTGGCTCACTCCAAATGGACTGAATTTAATCTGAAGCTGATGGGAATTGGTCTCAGGACCATGTTAATTTCACTCTTTATAATATTTCTTGCCCTGCAAAGGGTGGATAATCTCTATACTTCTCTTTTGTCTCCTGGAGGTTCTGGAATTTCCTTTGAATTATTAATTTGCCTTTTTTGTTGTGGCAATACGTGCATGTAGCTTCCTGTTAAACAGTTATATTTGTAAGTTCCTGAGTCTAGCTTTTCATGGTTTTAAAATTGCCTTTCCTCCTTTTGCTGACATCCAGTTTTTCCAGACCTTGATCTCAGTGGAGGGAGGAAAAGTGGCAAGTTTTCTGTTGG